CTCTACATGTCTCATTGCTAACCTACCAGGCACCTGCTGGCCGAGGCAGCCCTACAAAAACTCGATCTGAAGACAGCTGAGGAGGCGTTTGTCCGCTGCAAAGACTACCCAGGTATTCAGTTTGTCAAGCGCCTGGGCAACTTGCAGAGCGAGCCCATGAAACAAGCTGAAGTGGCTGCCTACTTTGGCAGATTCGAGGAAGCTGAAAGCATGTATCTGCATATGGATCGGAGGTACATCAAGACACTCTATGCCAACTTCTCCTGAATTTGAATCAGTTATTTATGTGTGATGGTGCCTGCCTCTGCAGAGATCTCGCCATCAACCTCAGGATCAAGCTGGGAGACTGGTTCAAGGTTCTGCAGCTTCTCGACACGGGCTCTGGATACTCAGATGACGCTCTGCTTGCTCAAGCTAATAATGGCATTGGAGATTACTTTGCCGACAGACAGAAGTGGTATTTACTTCTAGTTTTCATCTTCTAATTGTTGGTAGCATTTCTACATGTAAAGTTGAAATAATGACAACGAAAGACAAGTTTTCTTTGTGGATTATTGTGTATTTATAGAATTATAATGTCTCAGTTTGGAGGCAAATGGGGAAAAATTTGATTCTGAAAAGAAACAATCGAAAAAGGGAGTAGCGAACCACCACCCCTTTTTTGTACAATTCTTTTTCTTTGGGGTAAAAAGGAGCTGAATCATTGTTCTCACTTTTAAACATCTTTCTTTAAAGGGTGAAGGCAGTCCCATACTACCTTAAGGGCCGTAACCAAGAGAGGCTGGCAGATTGTTACTATAAGTTGGAGGACTATAACGGCCTTGAGCATCTAGCTGCAGACCTCCCTGAAAATCATAAACTATTACCGGTGCGTCAAACCTAAATGCCTTTTTGTTAGTTTCCATGAGATTTGCAGGCTTTTGGACAATTTGTAAATGTACATTCTTTCCCATTTTATTGCCTGTCTGTGCAGGAAATCGGAGAGATGTTTGCCACAGTGGGGATGTGTGAACAGGCTGTGAAGGCCTACTTGAAGTCCAACCAGCCAAAAGCAGCAGTGGACACATGCGTCCATCTAAACCAGGTGAGAGACAGACGGATGAGTTGTGGCGCCGGAGTTTCCGAGTGACTCATGGATCCTCAAAGATCAGCCAACCTGAATCCTCTTGTCCACCCGCTCATAGATATTTGGCTCTTGAGTGTGAATCCTGCTCTAAAACTTTTATCTTTGCTGCAATAGCTCTTTAGTTGGACACAATGTAAAATGATAAACATTAGAGCTTTTAATTTGATTATTAAAATGAAATTTTATATTTATAAGCAACCCTTTGGGAAATTTTAAGATTTATTTTATAAATATAATGTTGTTCAATGATTAATTAGAAAAGGAATTGACATTCTTTCTCTTTAATTGCTTCTTCATCAGTGGAACAAAGCCGTGGAACTGGCAAGAGCCCACAACATGAAGGAGATAAAATCTCTCCTTTCCAAATATGCCTCTCATCTTCTGGAGGAAAATAAAACTCTGGAAGCAGTGGAACTTTATCGAAAAGCTCATCACTTTCTTGATGCAGCCAAACTTATGTTTAAGGTGGGCTTAAAGTTTTATTTTTATCATTAGAAACAAGTTTTTTTTTAATGTTTCATTATAAAAAGTCTGTTCCTGACTCCCCAGAATTAAACACCTTTCTTGGATAACATGTCTCCTAGGCTTAGTGAGATTTGGCCAAAATTGACACAAACTAACTAAGCCACAAATGAGATTTATGAGCTGCTAGAAGGACTCCAGGCTCAGGGTTTATTGGGTTTCTTTGGCTTTGTTTTAGTTTGTTCAGGCAGGAAGTTTTCACATTTTGGATTACATTCTTTTTTATTTTAATTATGAATAACAATGAATAAAACTAAAGATTAAAATCTCACAGCTCCAGTTTTTTAGTAGTAATCTACACTTACCAACTAAATAGTATTTCATTTGCAAATATCGGATGGTAAATTGAGGAGTGCGATCGTGACTTCTGATTGTAGATAGCGGACAAGGAGGCGAAGAAGATGAGTCGACCTCTGCGGGTGAAGAAGCTTTACGTTCTGGCAGCTCAGCTTGTTGAGGACTACCATGTGCAGGTGAAGACGTCCCAGCAGACCAAAGCCAAAGGAAAGAAGTCAGAGGTAAATTACTGCATTTCATCTGTACCCTGTAGTTGGTGTATGTTTTCTTCAATAAAGCTTAACCACATTGCTTTGGACCATTTACAAGCTTATTGAATCAACATTATGTACTGCATTGTGTATCATTATTTATAATTAGGCAACATTTGCACTTGCTGGCCTTCTTGAAGAAGATGCAACGTCGTCAGACAATCGCATCATTGACAGCGCCTGGCGTGGAGCTGAAGCGTATCACTTCTTCCTGCTCGCTCAGAGGCAGCTCCATGCAGGCTACCCAGAAAACGCCACACGCACAGGTATGGCATGTGGTTACCTGAAATTATAAATATATCAATATATGTTTATTCAAATGTGTATACATGCATTAAATGATTCCAGTATTCCTTATGAGATTGATAAACAACACATATTTGTCGAGTTTGAATAGATTGCATTAACAACAAACCAAATTCATCAGATCATTTTCTAACATCTTTAAAAGATAGCCAGATTATTATTTTAGAAGTCTTCTGCCACCTGGTGTTCAAAAACTGCAATAATAAAATTATCCACTGAAATGCTTCATTGAGGAAATTGTGAATCATCTAACTCGTCATGGTGTTACACTAACAGTCAGAAACATGCAGATCAGATGGAAGACATGGACCTGTGTAAGCAGCAATGAAACCAATAATTATATTTTCTAAAATATCATGTCTTTGTAAGTCTTAGAAATCACTCTTACAATCCGTGCTTATTCTTGCCAAAACCTAATGGGCGTATGAATTACGCCCATTAGGTTTTGGCAATCACTCATAAATAAACTTGTTGTACTACATTAGGATTTCCAAAATAATTAAATGTCTCAGACATCAAAATTTTAGTTTGAAGTCAAAACACATTTCTAAACCATTTGAGTGGAAGATGATGTAAAGATTGTTTTTACTTAACTGAGTATCTATGACATGTAGTTTGGTGTTACTTCATTTGCCTGCTGTTGACAAAGCCAGTTAGTTTAAAGCTTAAATCTGCTGGGAAATAATTCAGTGGAAATGTGTCAGTTTGTAGACCCACTAAACTCTGTCTCATGTTTTCTATCTTACAGCCCTTCATCTTCGTGAGTACGAGGACATCATCCCCGCGGTTGAGATCTACTCCCTGTTGGCTCTGTGTTCTGCAGCGAACCGGTCCTTTGGCACCTGCTCAAAGGCCTTCATCAAGCTGGAATCTCTGGAGAGTCTCAGCTCTGAGCAGCAGCAGCTCTACGAGGATTTGGCCCTGCAGATTTTCACCAAATATCCCCCGAAGGACAGCCGCGTAGTGGAGGCCCAGGGCTCTTCAGAGGGGTGAGAACACCACAGTGTCAAGATCAACCCTCGTTATATCCATAGACATTTCCATTGTTAGAGTATTTACTCAAAACAATACATCATAAACAATAAAGCTTATTCAAAGAACACCAAGACCATACTTGGAAGAATGTATGATTATGTTAATGACATATCAGAGCACAGGAGGTCTTTATCTTCTTGGAAGTACATTTTCTAAAGTTGCCACAGCATTTCCTGCTATTCCTCCAACCTGTTCTGTTTTTCCTTTTTCATCAGAGCTGAGGGAAAACTGCCCACATGCATCGTGACCGGTCGTCCTATCCAGGAGTACCAGTTTTGGATGTGCAGTGTGTGTAAACACTGTGCATTGGAACAGGAGATCAGTAAATATAACTGTTGCCCGCTGTGCCACAGTGCAGTAGTGTAAGGAACAAAAGTTGCCTGACAGGACTCTGTTTCAGATAGAAGAGGAAAGTTTTAAGCATCTGCTGTTTATTTTGTGCTTAATGTTCAGATTTTCTAAAAAGGCAGACACGTGATTATCTGAGCCAAGCAGCTCAATGAATACATGCTGTTGATAGTCTAAGCAAAAAATAAAAATCTTGAGCTTTGTTTCACTTTGTATATGTTTAAAAGTTAATTGTATTTTGTCTATAAATGTTTTTATTGCTTAAGTGTAAGATGTTTGTATCTGGTTTTACAATAAAGTCAAAAGTAAACACACTGTTTCACTAAATTCTCAGATTTTTGAGAACTTAATCTGTTTAATGAATGATAAAAGTTCTCAATTAGGATTTGTCAATCCAAATTGCTTGGATTGACAAGACATTTTTCAGAAAAGCATTATTATTGAATGAGACAATTGTCTCATTCTGTTAAACGTTCTTTAATCAACTGTCTTTTGTTTCTCTGAGATTTGAAACCAGGGATTTAGATCCAGGTGTAAAAACCCAGACACAACACACAATATTCTCAAAAATTCAGCTTTATCTGTGGTTTGTGAAATTCAGCTGGCAAGGAAATGAACTCTAAACAATATTTCTCATAAAAGACCGGAGCAGATTTGCATGTTTATCCTTCTGCCGTTGCATAAATATTTACGATTCTGGAAGGATTTCAGTGCCCAGCATCAAAGCATATTAAAATCCTTGGAGATCTCACACGAGCTGCAGTGCCATGGCCTGTCCATGCATCACACATGAAAGTTTAAACATCTTTAGAGAGCTTGTCCCAGCCTGGGAGAAGCTGTGCAGGGTTTTCAGTCTGCTGTTCGCTCAAACGCTCCTGCAGTCCGGACTGAGCAGAGCCTCTCCACAACACAAGGTCAGGTGACATTATGCTGTCTCTCTGTAACAGATGTTTGTTTTTATAAGTGTCAGTGGTAATAATACTTATTAGTCCAGAATATTTTTTTAAAACATGCTATCGGTCATGCTATGAGCCATTATTTCAGTAGAAATTACTGCTTAACCAGCTTTACATTTTGAATTCTGTATTTTATGTAGTGCATAAATTACATCCAACATGGCACCTGTGTTCTGGTCAGCAGGTGCTCTAAGCAGGAAGGAGCCTGACAGCAGCAGGTGCTTTGTCATGGTGTACGGCAGAGTTCTTCACCAGGCTGATGGTTGCTTCATTAACGTCAACGTTGGAGGATTTAGGCGGCGCATGCCTCACTCTGTCCTGAGGAGATTGCCACAGACCCGCCTCGCCCGCCTCCTGCACTGCTCCTCCAGAGCAGCCATTTTGGAGCTCTGTGACGACTTCAGCTCCTCTGAAAACGAGTTCTACTTTGACCGCAGCCCAATCATTTTCTGCTCCATTCATAACTTCTACCTCACAGGGAAGCTCCACCTGGTCGACGGGTTGTGCATGGCCTCATTTTTCCAGGAGCTCGAGTACTGGGGAATCAAGGACCCCCACCTGGATTTGTGTTGCAGCAACAGATTTCAGGAGCTGATGCAGAAAATATATTTGGATGATCAGCACCGCCAAAGCTCAGGCTCCTCAGCTGAGAATCTTTCAGCTTTAGAGGACGAGTTGGAAGAGTTTGAAGGCTCCTGGTGTTCAAACGTTCGCAGGAATATCTGGATTCGTGTCGAGAATCCCAGTTACTCCATCTCAGCCAAAGTGATGGCTGTGGTGTCTGTGAGTGCTGTGGTTGTGTCTATTGTTTCCATGTGCTTGAACAGCATGCCAGACTTTCATCAGTGGGACTCTGATGAAAAGCGCATAGAAAACCCTCTGCTGGTCCTGCTGGAAAACATCTGCATCCTTCTGTTCTCTGCAGAGTTCATTCTTCGTTTGGTCGTTGCTCCTTCAGCCAAGAAGTTCTTGAGCAGCGCTCTGAACATCATCGATTTTTTGTCCATCTTTCCCTTCTATGTGACTTTAATCTGTGACAACACAAAGAAAGACGGGAATAAAGAGCTGGAGAATGTCGGCAAAGTGGTCCAAATCTTGAGGCTGACCCGAGTGTTTTGTGTTTTGAAGTTGGCCCGTCACTCAGCTGGACTCCGCTCTCTCGGCTCCACACTGAGGCACAGCTCAAGGGAGATGGGACAACTGCTGCTCTTCTTATCTTTGGGGGTTTCTCTGTTTTCTGCTCTTATTTACTTCGTGGAGAGCGAGTCCAAAGAGTCACAGCTGCAGACCATCCCTGTGGGCTGGTGGTGGGCCACCATCAGTATGACCACTGTGGGCTACGGTGATACAATCCCAGTTACCGTAGCTGGGAGGCTGATAGGAACCCTGTGCATCGTCTGTGGGCTGCTTATTGTTGCTCTTCCTATTACTAACATCTTCAACAAGTTTTCCAAGCTTCATCAGAGGCAGAGATGATATAGTTTGAGGTAGAACACCTTGAATAAATAAATTCACGTGAATATTTATTAGAATTTTAGACCATTAGTTCACGCACTTCTTTAAGTTGTTAAAAAAAAAATGTTGCAGCGAGTGTACTGATCTGTATCCTCATCTGCTTCAGTGGCAGCTGAGAGCATTTAGTGCAGCTGTCAGTACTTTGAGGTTTCAGCTCAGATAAATATTTAAATCAGCACTTAGAGACATCTAGTTCATCCTCCTGTGACACGTCTTCACACTCTAAATCACACGGTGCCTCACTTTGATTTTATTTCACTGCTTTTTCTGCATGAAAGTCACAGTCGGCAGGACAGCAGCCATTTCAGAATCAAGAAAGTCCTAATGCAGACGTTCTGCCTGTACAAAAAACTGATTATGTTAATCCTTTCTTGCTGAAGAATACAGGCAGTGCAAATAAAAAACAACAAAGAAGACACCCACCAGCAGAGATATATGTGAAAAGAGCTGTAACAGGATCAACTTTGCAAAATTACAATTTTATTACAGTAGTTGAAGATGTAAAAAGAATGGCATCCTCAAAGACACTGCCTTCCTTTTCACACATGATGTTTCACTTTCCTCCAGAGTCTAAGCCACTTATGGTAAGCCACTTTTAAGACAAATAAACAAATGCAAATATATATAATTATTCAGTTATGTGTGATGTGACGACCCCTGTCAGGCCACAATAAACATTTAGGTTGTACTTTCCCGCAGGTCAGGGGTCATCGGACGTTCAATGTAAAAAGATGTTTTTGCCCTTGTTACATTTTTAGAGCCATAAAACCAATGTAAATTATGTTTCAGGCTTAAATTAAAGAGCTACAAATGTATATCTAATCTTAGGTTTTAGAACAAACAAAACTGTCAAAATACTTTAAATTCACCTTATAATGGAGTAGGTGGTGTGTGCATTTCATGTAGTTCAATGGAAGTTTGGGAAGGTTTTCTGTCCGTTCGTAGAACGCAAAGTGTCTGGAAAGGAATCTGTAAGAACCGAGTAAGTCCTGGCAATATTGTGAAGATATAAATGGTACAGTCAAATTTAAGAATCCAATTGTAAAAGTTTGGACTGACTAGCTGATCCAATAGGACCACGCCTAAAAACTCAACTTTTAAAATTCCATCAGAATCAGAATACCTTCATTTTCATAGTTAATCTGGGTTTCTGTTGACAAAGTAGCATTAAATCCCAGCCGACGTCATGAAACTCTTTCTGAAACAGCCTTTATAGTCTCACTAATGTCACATCAAGCTCTCTTCAGTTCTGTATAATAGAAAATTTATCTTGTGTTGCAGGTTAAAGATTTTCTGAATCATAGTGAAAACAAACATTATAAGCATGTCTCAGCAATGGTGCAGGGCAGAGATCCTGTAGTTCAGGTTATTGAAGGCAAGCCTTCTTCTTTGTGTTGTAATTCCACAACAGTTCCATTAGAGGGCAGCAAACCCTAAGATGTTTACCATTACACCCAGAAGGAGAAGCCTCAGTCTGTTTACTAAAATTCTTATTAGCAGGAAACAAAAACAAAGTTGAACCCTTTTGACAAAAAATCTTGTATCGAAAATGATCTCTCAGAGGTGGTTAATTTTTATCCAAACTTTTAATCTGAAAGACTAGAAAATAATCAGAAGTAGAAAGTTAGAAAGAATCCATGATCAGAACATATTGTGGCAATTTTTTCTGAAAATCCAAACTTACATTCCCTTGTAAAATTTAAAATCTGCTTATAAATTCAAATTATTATTGAATTTATAAAAGTACAAAAACTCATCTTTATGACAGAAATAAAATGTTAAAAATGATCAATAATCAGAATTAGATAACCTATTATGGCTTTTTTACTAAAAATCCAAACTTAAATTCAATTCTAAAATATTAAATATGCTTGTGTGTCATCAATGAATTAATGAAAAATACAAAAACTGATCTTTTCAGCCTAAATTGGTGTTGCTTCCAAGGTCTTGAATTGCTAGTAATACACTCCACACATATCATGTTTTTCTGCAAAACAGACGCTGTTTAATTGTATTAGCTGGTTTGCTACAGCTCAACAAAAAATATGAAGGTTTTACGTGAAACGCTGTAGATAGGCGTAACTAGTATTTTCATACTGAAACATGATTGCATGGATATTCTTTATATTTCTTTGAAATAGTTTAAAGCTACTGTAATAATTTTGAAAAACTGAAGATAATTTTGTCTTTATGTCAAAATCTGTACATGTCATTATTTCTTTGTCATGTGGATGCAATAGAGTTCACAGTGAGATGTGGACAAATGTTTCTGTGAATATGTCCTCTCTTGGGGCAAACTTTCAGCTTTTAAGTGGAAATCTGATGTCTTCATCTAAGTCACACAGACCGATAACAGAGAAGATATAAACATCTATGTTGATGATATTATGACATTGAATCTGTTTACTGAGAATCCGCCAGCAGTTTGAGTCGTGATTAACAATTTTTATTTGACTTCTTGAAAATGGTTTTCTGTGTTTTATCATACCTATGGCAATATCAGTATTTGAAAAATTATGTATTTTAGAAATATACAAGTGGAGTGGCAATTTTTTTTTAAATTGTTTTTCAGGACATCAAGAATTATTATCTTTCCACAACTCCTGGATTATTTTTGCGTCATTTATTGCTGAGGCATCAGCCAAGTTACAACACCTGTTGATCTTCGGGAGAAACAAATATTCTTGGCTTCACACCATTTAGCTCACAGCCACATGTGGACAAACATTATTTCCAAATAAACTCACTCTCTGAGCAAAATGTCTCAGATATTTTTTTTACTTTTTATTTTTATGCACATTTGCGACACTTGCTGCATCACGGCATATGCTGATGACAATCTCATATTTTCTGTTAAGTAGTTATTCAAGAAAAATGCTTTCTTTGTTCCCTTTTATTACTACGGGACACAGAATTTTATCACCTGAAGATTTCTATAATTTGAAGGTATTATGGAATTGCTAATGCTCATTCAGAATTTGTCGGATTGAGTCTTTTACCATGGAAAGCATCGGAACTGTTGTTTAGCACACACTAAACAAATCCAAGCTGAAATACACCTTTTTCTACAACATCTAATTCCAAATTTCTTTTATTCCATTTTATATTTTCAATTTCATGCACTTTATTTTTCACTCCATATTAAAGTAAAACATATATGTAGTTTGTATTTCTCAGAAAAGGAAAAGAATGGAAGTCCTGAGGAAAGCTTTGATTTTATTTTAAGCCTCATGTGACGTGTATTTATAATATTGCCATAATTAGCAAAAGTGACGGACCTAAATTAAATCTCAACATTGGGTGACCTGAACGAAAGCATGAAAACAGACGTTTCCAAGATGAAAATTATTTTTATTATTACTCTTTTAAATTAACAAACACTGCTATACATATTGCTGTTTTTATTCATTTTGAATCATTTTGAACAGTTAAAGCATTTGGGAAAAGAAAAAGAAGAAAAAAATTGTAGTTCAACAGGCGACAGACAGCAGATGACATGTACAGTAGAACATCTACAGTCGATGGCTTTCCTGTGTGTGTGGAGAGGGGGCTCCAGAGCACTCCGACATACAGACATTTAGACGGTTTTGGTTCTCAGATGTGTCCCTTTGTGCTATCCAGTCAAATTAAAGACCCCCGTTGATTTAAAACAGCCAGTCAAATTAAAATGACATCAAAAACAGCTGACCAGCTCTTTCTAAACGAGTAGCAGCAGCTTGGGTTGGCTTTAAAATGTAGCCTTCTGCATCCGGAATCATCTCATATTCTTGTCATCGGAAAAAGAAAAGGGATGTTTGGGTTTAAAACCCGTCAAGTTAAATTTGTATGGAATGTTTTGAGTGAACTAAATATATAGTAAATATCGCTGTTCTGTCAGTGCTTGATATCCCAAGCCCACTTCCCTTTAACATATACAGATGATGAACAAGAAGTTCTTCAAAGTGTTGGCTCTTTCACGTCAGACCAGCTGTAGAGAGAGTCTTCTTCATCCTATTCCTCGTCGTCTAAAGTACCTCCTGCACCCAGAAACCAGCCCGTCTGAGTTGGGTTTAAACATCTTTGTTGTACTAAAAGTGACGGCTTTACAAACACCATATAGCCTATACATATTTATATATATAAACAGGGTTGACATCATTTGGCAGCTGGCAACAATCTGGACCACCGTGGCTTTTGTTCAAGTTTGACCAAAAATCCCTCCTTCTATTTTAGACAAGGACTGATGAAACACAGGATTTACACGTGCCGAGAAAAAAAGCGGATTTGGCTTTTTGAAACCCGAGCGGCCCCTGAGAAGGCAGCGGCGGAACAAAAGGATGTTTATTTAGAGAACGAAGCGGAGGAGGGTTTTGTTCAAACTTTGTTTTTTTTCTTTTTCTTTGTTTTTCAAATGTCGGAGCAGAGAACGACTCACAACAATTAAATTAAATCTTTTTTTCTTTTTCTTTTTTTTTTCAAAGTACCACCTCTGCCACAGTCACTCGTCACGAACGACGGGGGTTCTACTAAAACACATGAGAGATAATCCCTGACATCAATGTAAATCACATACACTTTGTCCAAAAAAACAAAACAAAACAAACAAACAAAAAAAAGAAAACAGGGTTTAGATACAGAATCACCAAGGAAGAAAAAAAGCACATGATACTACTGCAAATTCAAGCCACTATGGCAAAAAAGAGAAAGTATTGAGGAGCTTGATGGCTCAAATTCTCTGTAATGCTGAGGTCACCCTGAGGTCACCTTGCAGATTTAAAGGAGAGGACAAGAAAATTCCACCAGCACAGGTCATAAATACACAGAGAGAGATGGAAATAACATGAGAAAGTGTGCACTCTGTCCTGAATTGAGTCATAAGTGTCTCAGAGGGGGGAAAAAAAGTCAAATGAGAGTCTCGGCCTCTCTGCAGAAATCCCAGCAGAATGCTGACCTCGCTTGGTGATTTGTTATAGATTGATCGG